CATTTGTGCATCAGTTCTCATTTTCTCGGGTTATATTCCAAGCAGTGGAATGGCTGGGTCATATGGGATTTCTATGTTCAGCTTTCTGAGGAAATGACAAACTGCTTTCCAGAGTGGTTGTACCATTTTACAATCCCACCAACAATGTATAAGAGTTCCTATCTCAGTACATCCTCTATGACATTTATTACTTGCTGTCCTGTTAAACTTTGCCACTGCTACTGGAATGAGGTGGTATGTCATTGTGGTTTTGAATTTCATCAGAAGAGAGTCTTTGTTTACATGGCAGTTTGCTGTTATTTTTGTCATGTGCCATCAAGTCTCTGCAGGACTCATAGCGACCCTATGCAGAATAGCTCTGAACCCTATCCTATCCTGAGCCCCTCCTCCAAACCTATGCTAGGGCCTTAAGATATCATATACATTGACAAGAAGCAGGCTGGAGCTAAGATGACCGTATAAAATGAGTTTGGCTTTGCTAACGGGGCCCTCTCTCAGAGCAGGAACCTAAGAAAGACTGACCTTTTCCTCACCTTCGGACTTCAATACACCTACCCCCTACTCCGCAGTTACATTCAAGGTCTTCCTCTCCTGCACTGTCTCTCTACCCTTCCAAGCATAATGTCCTTCTCCAAGAACTTGCCCCTTCTAGCAACATGTCCAAAGTATGTGAGACAGTACTTCAAAATCCTTGCCTCCAAAGAGCAACTTTTGTTTCACATTCTCCAGGACAGGCCTGTTTGTTCTCATGGCAGTTATGGGAAAAATAGAAGCTCACATAAGGTCTTCAGGTGGTATCAGTCTAGCAGATAAGGAGTTGCAAAGCCAACACAAAGGCAGGCAGTTTGAAATCCACCTGCAGCTCCTCAAAGATGGGCAGTCTCCTTCATGTGATTTATAGCCTATGGAAACCCGCTGGAGGATCAGCTGTGAGTCTTTTTTGACTCCATGGCAATGAATGAGACGAACCAAAAGATTGATGGTTGAAATCTACCCAGTGGCGCTGCAGTGAAATTAGCCTGGCAATCTATTTGCATAATATTAGTCATAGAAACCTCACACAGTGCAATTGAACTCTGAAACATAATGGATTGCCATAAGTCCAATTTAAAGGCAACCTTTAAAAAAAAAACAACACACACACACAAATCCCCAACCAAATAACAAACAAAAAAGCCAGCTGACAGTAGCATTGAGGGGAAAGATCTGACTGAGAATAAGGTGTTTAGTAATGAATCCAGAATAGCTCTAAATGAAATTAAGAGCTCCAAGATTGCGAGCTAGGTGGGTTGTTATGTCAACCCAGCCTCTTCCTCCCAGGACATGGATTAATTGATGCATGTTGAGTTTATGAAGCTGCTGTTTTGTGACTTGCTCTACTCATACTTTCTAAGAGGAAAAAGTTGCTTCTGAATCAAAGATGCCCCAAACTAAACATTTTTTTCTTAAAAAAAGAGAATAAGGTGCTTAATAAAAGAATTAGGAGGATAATTTATACTTGAAGTCTTCTGAGAAGTCAGTAGGAGCTGGGACGTGAGTGCTGATGGAAGGACTAGTTTAGATAGCCATTTGCTAATCCATTCAACATGAATTTGCTGCATGGTCTTGAGTGCCATGCACAGGAATATAGCGGTGCCAGAACAAATGGGGTCCCGGTTCTCACAGAGATCCCACTCCAGCAATGAGAGAAAGACAGCAAACAAACAGGTGATTTAGAAACAAAAGTACCTGTTGTGAAGAACATAGCAGGCTATTTGGTGGAGAGTGATGGAAGACTGCTTTCAGTTGTGAACTAATCTCAGTGTGTGTTAAGATTTAAACAAGAAGGAACCAGCCTCTGAGAATCAAGCAAAGAACATTTCAGACAGAGGGAACATCCTTAGGCTAGTGCAAGCTTATAGTGTTTGTGAAAACTAGCATGGCTGAAGCGGTAAAAAAAAACAACAACCAAACACATCCAAATATTCAACAGGGTAAAAAGGGAAGCCACAGATTCAGAAAAAAAAATTGGTAATGACATGTCTGATTAGAGACTTATATCTAGAATTTCTAGAATACTTGAGCACCATAACAAGATAAAGGCAAACATCCCAATTGACAAATGGGCACAGGATATGAACAGACACTTCACCGAAGAAGACATTCAGATGGCTATAACAAACACATGAAGAAATGTTAAAAATCCCTAGCTCTAAGAGAGATGCAAATCAAAACAACTATGAGATATCCTCTCACCCCAGTAAGAATAGCAATATTTAGCAGAACAGCAAACACCAAATGCTGACGAGGTTGTGGAGAAACTGGAACCCTTATTCACTCTTGGTGGGAGTGTAAATGGTACAACCACTGTGGAAGGCGGTATGGAGCTTTCTCAAAAAGTTGCAAATAGAGATAATACCATTTGACCCAGCAATTCCACTACTGGGAATTTACCCTAAAGACACCATAACTGCTACCCAAGCAGATATATGCACACCTATGTTTATTTTTTTTTCTATAATTATATTTTATTAATTTTCATAAACATTTACAGAGATTTTGGGCTTCCACTCATTCACTGTCGCACCATTCTCTCCACCCTCCTCCCAGTTTGTTCTTGTCCAAATGCCATAGTGCTTGTCAAAGCCAGTTCTGATTAATCTTCTTTGTCAGTGTGTCCTTTGCCATTCCCTATCACTCCTCCCTGAGAGAGACTTCACCCTGAGTCAT